GATTCTATGATTGTAGATGAATGCAAACGTCAGGTGGGATTGAAATGGACTGGACCAAAATGTAGACTCCTGCTTCTAAAGAGAAAGAGAAACGTCGAGATAACACGAAGGGATGAAAAACAGAGGGTCCGGACAGCCCCTAGAAGAGAAAGGAGCTAATATCGTATACGGTAAATACGTTATGATTTGAATAAGACTTTCTGTACTCAAACGAATATTCAGTATCCACCCCTTGGAGAATTTGATATTATACATGCGTAGAGAAGCGAGTATGCTCGTATATCTTAAGTGAACTTCCACCTGGATTTTCATTTCACAAAAGTCATTTCAAATTTCCGTTTTTCATAAAAATATTGATTTTAAAAATTAAATTTTACATTAAAATCTTTCAATTCTTACCACTATATACCTACGTGGATATTACGTCCCGCAAAAAATACATATCTCGAAAATCATGCGCGACGCTCTTGAATATCGCCAACGACATTTTCATGAGAGCCACCACGTCGCAAACTTTTTAACGCGCAAACCACAGGATTTTTTCCTATCCATAAGGGATGAAATAAAGGTAGTTTGGTTACTGAAAAGGATATCGTATATAAAGTCACACGAATTAATATTCTTCATCGAGTATAAAGAGGTATTAAATAAATTTAAAAAGCCTCGCGACACGAAAATAGTTAAGTAGCCAGCTGCGTGCTACGTCGTCAAAGAAAATTAAAAAAAAATAATGACTAAAGCCGAGTATGCAGAGAGCGAACGAATGAACTCCCGAAAGGCTTTTCGAGAGTTTCGCCCGAGGCGACACTGAAAAAGGTATTGAAGCTTTTCTCGCCGAGAGGAGCTTTCAAATTATATTTGCAATACCCCTATAATTTAATATCGCTTAATTCACCCCTGCAATTCACGTCTCTCGTCGGACACATATAGTCCATGTCAGAACCATATATCCATAATATACGAACCCACCATGTATAATTCTCTTTAATAATAAAACGCCACGTCAATTCACCAGCTTTAGGCGTGAATTCGAAATACGTATGATTCTTGGCCATTGAATTTGATGGGTTTCCGATGTTTGAAAAATATGACGTCATAAAACTTTATCCAATCGTATATATACAGTGTGTTCGTGTTATCTCCTTAATTGTTAAGACGTCACTCCAACTCGAAAGCTGCTGTGCTCTTTAATTAAATGAAATAATTATAATTATAAGCCATCATCCACGTGACAAGACACAGTAGGTTAGGTCAGAAAGCGCGAATAATTTAAGGCGGGAATTTCAGGTATATTCAAAAATAGACCGTGTCCGTTTGTTCATCCCTGTAGCTAGCCGACTAAGGAGCAAACTACCCTTATACACTTCGTGTCACTGTCCTCATAGTTTATTCAGCGGATGGCGGGTCTTCAACCCTCTCTCCTGACGTCACGCTGACCCCTTAACCCCTTACGGACTACGGCGAATATAAGAGAGAAAAAAAGGAAAAAAACTACCCCCATTGCACCTATCGACTTTTCGTTTTTTGATTTCATTACGAAATTAATTTCTCGTACGGATGATTAATTTTAACATTGACAATCCCTTTTATCGACAGTTTTAACGAAGCTGATACGGTGCAGAATTATGCATAATTATAAATTGCAATATTTTTTTTACCAAAAATATTCCATCAACATCCCGCTTCATTTATTTTATATAATCGGTTGGCATTGCTATATTCGCAACTTATCGAATCGCAATTCTCTACGTGGATCGAATTGGATTGGCGTACCGTGGCGAATATTTTATGATAGCGCATATAGAAGAATTGGCGAAAATACTTTATACAAGTGGCAGCCACGTATTTGACGTACGATCAAAATATTTCGAAGCACGGTATCTCGTGTATACGTTAGTGGAGAAAATACAAGCGCCAAATATTTAATAAGATTAATTGATAACCACAAATTGGACATTATTGGACAAATCATATACCAGTTTAACTTCGTGCTTTGGTATTTCTTTTTATTTTCATATATCTGCAAATTACCATTTTTATCCTCGCGGAGCTTAAGAGGGATGACAACGGCTTCGTGGGATTCGCCAGATGATAATAATTACAATGTCGGCGAAGCTGTGAATTTTCATTCTTTAAGGTAATCTGACGTTTCCCGATTAATTAATTTCACTTTTTTATTTATTTATTTATTTATACGCGGGATACGCATTAATACCCTTCCCAATTTTCGCAATACTGTACCTGCATGCTAAGTACAATAAATATATTTAAATTATCAGAATTTATAGCGTCGAGTATAAGAAAGAAAACGCCATTCAATTCTTATCAAAGAAAAAGATAGGTTGGTATTCCCGGAGGAAAGAACGGACTCTCATCAAGTGCCAATTTATTCGCCCTTGTTGACGCAACAAAAATATATCAAATGCCATAGCGGAATCGGCACTTCCACCCCGTAGTTTACTTACCTCTCGTATCTACCCTCCTGTTACGCCGCAAGATACAAAACGCGTCAAAGGAGAGGGAAATCAATTTTGACTTCTGCTATGACTTCAAAAGAACTCTCTCGAATGTTTTCTCTCTACCCGTCAGTAAAAAATAAGAAAAGAAAAAAAAATTAGACTGAAGCAAAATAAACAGAACGTGGTAGATTTATATAAGTTATACGATGAAAAAATTTTATTATGAAATTAATCAAAGATGAAGTATTTGTACAATATTTATTTTTTTTATGCATTGTCAAAGCCCTTCACGCATCCCCATCGACATCCAGCGGCGAGCACTCAAAATACAATGATAAAACATGGAATTTATTACCATGGACGCTGGTTCCGGCCGCTTCTCCGTTCTCTGAAAATATGATTTTATTATGCGTGGGTTTGCTCTCGTTCGCCCTTCGTTGTGGGTGGCTTACCATCCCCCAGAGCAAGCGCCTCTGGTCGTTAGGGTAGTAAGGGTTGGTTCTAGAGAATCCGAGAGCAAAAATCAACAGACATCGCAGAACGCACGTCTGCTTTGCTCACACATGCCTCCCCCACCATCCACCCCCCGCCTACCCCTACTACCCTCTTTTACTTTTTCTCGCTCAACGCTCGACGTTCATCCCACGCGAAACGACGTCATTTTTCCCGGGAAAGAAAAGAAAGGAAAAAGGGGTAAAAAAGGAGAGAGAGAGAGAGAGAGAGAGAGAGAGAGAGAGAGAGAGAGAGAGAGAGAGAGAGAGAAGAATGAGGGAGCAGAGAATCAGGAGAGCAGTCTAAGCGACAAGACCGCACGTCGTGCGCGACAACGTCAGATTTGTCTTGCGTTTTTCTTTTTCTCTTACTAGCTTTTCAAGGCCGTACCGGAAATTACAACGTCGCTCTTCGTGACTCTTCCATTTCCGGACGGATCCTCACGGAACAGCCCGAACGACAATCCCGCCACTGGGATTGTTCCAAACGAAATTCTGCGTGTAAAATTACGAGTGGGTCAATGGATAAATGAATATATGAAAAGACATTATGGCCAATGAAAAAAAATGATATAAATCATTAAAAAAAATAAAAATCCTAAGATAAAAAATTACAAAAAAAAAAAGCATTGGTTACCTTGAAAACGTCAAAAAATGGTAATTCATTGCTCATATAAACGACAGCCGTCTTTGAGGTTCATCTTATATCGGGTGGTTAGGTAATGATTAACACTTGAAAAATTAAATTTTATCACAAAAAATCTTGATCAGTCCAAATAACACGTACGTCAACGATACGCTACTTGTTCGTTTTTTTCCTTGTAGCGCAAGAGGCATCTCTTGATCACGGAGAACTAATTAGTACCACGTGACACCGTCTTTGATCACCATAAATTAATTACGTACTCGCCATTATAAATTTATTTTTTTTCTTCTCCTTCTTCCCTCCTCTTATCCCCCGTCGCTTTCTTCAATCTTGCCTCCTAGTTATCCTATACGTATATACATACCCCTCCATCCTTTACTCTCCTTAAACACTCATCGCCTCCCGCCGCACTTTTTCTTCTTACGACCCAAACGAAACTAACCTTATTTTCATTTTTTTTTTCAAAAAAAAAAAAAATATTTTTTCCCCACCCCTATCCTAACACGTCCAAAATCCACTAAATATGAAGAGAAATCCCCGCACCAGTATTGTCTTACCCCGCTTTATTTTTCTCTAGCGCCTCTGCATTTAGCACGTCGCGACGCTTGAGCGTCCATCCACCGCTACCGGAAACGCATGACGTCGTGATGCGAAGCAACGAAAATAAAAAAAAATCTCAACAAAAGAACTTTCTCGGGCGAGTCCCTCGACTTTAATTCTTTATTCACGCCATGCAATTAACTACGAAGACGTTCCTAATACTTATCCCAGTACGACAAAAGGAGTTAGGTCGCGCTTAAGACTCTACCCACTTGACAATCCGTTGTTACGTACGCCAAAAGTCAAAGAGACGCTCTTTACGCCGACGCCCACTTCTTCCTTCCATGGTTTACAAGTACTACTGTCGTTCCCTGTCAGCAGCGACGACGGCGACGACCTCCAGGAGTGTCATCGTCACAACCGAGTGGCTCGATACTCGTTGAGGATTCTCAAGTCGTAGTCGTTCCTACAGGAATACCTCGTACACCCTTTTCCGACGCTGGGCGTCTACGAAAATCGAGTCGATCCAGCTGCAACGTGAGACAAGACTCGGATAAAACATCAGGGGCCAGGCATATGTACCAAGGAATGAAATCCGATATGTACTACCCGTAAGTGCAAGCTTGAATACACTAATACATATACCTATATATACAACCATACGTGAAAAATGAATTTTTGAATTCGATTGTACCTCGGGAAATAACATTGGTCTGAATCAAAATACATTTATCTTTACGTACTCTGGTATCAACGAGAAAACCGGGTACGATTTTTATGTCGCATAAGTTAAGAAAAAAAAAAACAGAGATTCAAACCGCGATGGTGGTAGCACTTTATGCGAGCTTGCACGGCGATGTTCTGCTGCCTGTTTTTACTGCTAATTTCTGTAACATACGAACGTTGAGGTCAGATAAGAGCAAAAGAGAATTTTGGATATGGATAAAAAAAAATTGAACAAAATTTAGAGACTTTTCGAAGTAACTTTTGTCGGTTAATTAATTAATAAGAACTTTCACCCCCCTTTTTCACAGTGAAGCAATCGTAATCCCATTTTGAACTATGAACAGGGTTTCAGGAATTAACCCTTTAATAAATTCATCATCGCTAATCGATTCTCGACAGGCAGGAGTAAAACTTTTTGATTATACGTATTTTTATTTTTATTTTTTTTTCCCACCCGATATTGTCCTCTCTCGTCCCCATCTTCATCTGTCTATCACGTAGGCCACGGGTGCTTTTGAATTGTGGGAAACGCAGCCTGTGAAATAGCCTTTATCCCAAAAGGGACGCGATCCGACGGCAAATGATTTCTTGTCTGTGCAACCAGGTAATTTATACTGGGCGACTTGTTTTATCGTCCCTTCAAAAGGATTTTGGCTCCTGAGTCCTGCGAGTGTGTCAGGAGGAAATAGTCCTGTGGGAGAAGGAGATAAGAGGGGTACTGTTATATGCGTGTGATAATACACAGAACAGGAGGAGTTATTCGGAACGTAATCGCCGTAGGGTAAAGCCCCGTTCACGGGCGTCCGGAAAGAAATCGTAAGAGGAAGAAGAAAAAATGAAAGGAAATTCGAAGAAATGCTTGCTCAAGAAAAAGATAAGAAAAAAAAATGGTGAAGATGAAGTGAAAAAAATAGAGGTGAAAAGAAACATGAAACCGAGCTTTATTTTTATGAGACGTTCCGTCACTTCCTCTACCTGGACTGTACCTACTGCTGGTTCAGGAACTGGACGAGCCGCTCTCGACCCGGAAATCATCCTCGAGTTTTCCAGCGTATTGTCAGCGAGAACTTGCGAAATCTGCCATTGTTCTATGTCCAAATGCACGCCGCTTGCAAGTCGATTGTTCTGCTGTTCGTCGTTGCCAATAGTAACTGACAGTTGCCATTGTGTTATATAAATTTCAATTTTCAATGGTTTTTTTTTTAAATTGGCATTTGTTACATTTTTTCTAATTTATACGTAAATTAATCTTATGTATTGTATGTATTGTATGTATTATGTAAGTCTGGGATTTGTAACTCCTGCAAGCTCGTTTTCCGAAGTTTCGCAGACGGACTGGCTGGAAGGAGGAATAAAAAAGAGAAAAAAAAGTAAGAAGTAAAGGGGGTGGAGTTATATAGGGTGAGAACTATAGATAGAGAGACGAATGGAGAAAATGGTGCGGAAAGGGATGCTGCACCCTGTATATACCTAGAGTACTACTGAGAGAGCTTTCAAAGCTTTCTCTACGTAAACTCGCTAGAAGTGGATTAAGATCTTTCTTTAGACGTATTGATGGTGGCTTTAATGTACATGAGAAAATACACAAATTAATTAAATAAAAGCCATCGGGATATATTTCTGTAATAAAGATTTATTTATGTACAATTAAGATTACCTGTTGATTTAAGTCGTTAATGCCGCGAGTACCAATTAAAATTTAGGAAACAATATCCAATGTGACATTGTCACCAAGACTGTAAGCTGATAAGTTTAAAAATTAAAGAAAAACCACATTCCAGAAGAAACTTTTTTAAGCGACGGTAATTAGAGTGTAATTAAAACTGTTCAGTGTAAAAGTCTCGTCGTTGTTGGACGTTAATTTTCAAAAGCGCCTTTTCCGACGAGATATTCTTTCGAGTATCAACCGAAAAGCTTCCTTCCTCGTCAAAGCTCGCAGCTTTAACGGACCACAATGATCGTTTTTAATATCACCTTCATGATAATAGTAGCCAGTATACAGGCTCTTTCATAATCAAAAGCACTTCCACGAATCCTTTCTTAACATTGAATTTCTTTTCTTTGTAGACCCTCTCACGCTTTTGATTCAATTTTTTTTTTCAATAAAAATAAAGCTCTAAAATTCAACAGAAAATCTTTGCCTCTTGGTTCGCGCTGAGCATTACCGGAATGACTACTACTGAGCTTTTCCTGACTTTTGACCAAAATCCACCGCGAGACTCATTGGAGAGCTTTAATGACTCGAAACGGAGACTCAACTCGCTGGCATTTATTGCGAAACGGGTGAATTCACCCAAGGCAATTTTCTTACGGAATGACTTAATGGACGGCCCACCTGAAAGTTACCTGAAGTAGTCCTATGATGAGCAGGGTCAGAAAACGATGTCTAAGGGTGCTTGAGGAACGAGTTGGAATCCTTTAGTGCTTAGCGAGTAGAGCAAAACCTTTGGGAAACCCTGGTGGATCATTTTCCAGGGTTACAATAATTATTTTCTTGCCCTCGTATATTCAGCCCTTGGGTATTTTCTCACATTTCCATATTTCTCCATTTCCCTCTTGCCCCTGATGTCTACCCTGTGTCGGAATAGTTCGCAACAGAATCCAGACTGTGTCGAGGTTAGCCTCTAGTACTAATGAAGACGTATAGCAAGAGTTTAGCTCGTCGCCACTTAAACCACCAACGAGCAGAATTTCGTCTCGCGTTTTCTCACTAGTCTCGAGCGGTTACGAAAGAAACGCTGTGACGTTCCTGTTTTTATTGTTAATGTGACTTCGTCGGTGGGTACATCCCGTATAAAAGATTTGTGGAAAATCTATATCTCCTTGTGCGTTTGGCCAATAATAATACAGTAAATATCTACTATTATGGCATAGTGGCAGCAGCTGTACTATTATACTGAGATTTTAAACACGGTAGTCTATCATAGAAATTTTCCGCGACAGCCATTTTGAGGTGACGTTATAACACGCGAAGCAGTGTTATAAAATTCTTAAGAGACCCAGTAGAGCCATGAAAATTTACGGTAGTTTCCCCCGTGAAAATGTAGAGCGAGTAGATTTTTTTAAATATGGCTAAGTAACAGCGGAAAATTGAGAAAGTTAAGTAGCGGTTAAGTAGCGGAAATATTGCGAGGAAAAATTCACGAAGAGTAACTAAATTGAAACAGAATTGATCGATGTAGTTAAGGTTACCTGTGTTACTCTTCATGCACTATTTTCCGATAGACACGAAGGGCCGTCGGCCACTGTGTTATCTGAGAGTTCGCGATCGAAAGGACTTCTAGCGGTTTTCCTTCTACAAATAAAATTCGCAGCTACTCTGCATGATAGAGAAAATAAATTTAAGAAGCGCGGAAAGATGACGACGGCACGGAAAGGAAATATAAAACGGAATGCACGGCTCCCGAGCATAATCGTATCGTCATGGTGGCAGACTCGGGAGTAAAATGTGGGAATAAAAAGTAGACTGTAGAATGCATATACTAGTCTATCTAGATAAAAAATATACGTTGCTACGTATATCTGTACATACGTCTCAGGTATTGAAATATATCCAGCACTCCTGTCATGGCGTAGCCATCGCAATAAAAGTATCCTGGATTCTAGGATCAGATGCTTCATTTACTCGCACGAACTGTAAACACTCGACCATTGACACTTTCACCACTACTTCGTACAATTCACATCGTTCTATACAAACAGACTCGTCACTCTTTAATTACAGCACTTTCGTTAATTGCACGCCGAAAGAAGCTCACGCGTCTCTAGTCTTGTCTCTGTACTTCTCTGTAAATTCTCGTCACTTTACGACTACTCACGTCTACCGCTAGCGTCGTGCCCGCGGCGCCCCTAGCGGCAGTAGTTCGAACAAAACTTTACAGTACGTAACACGCATTTCCGTTAACGTGCAGCTACAGATTGTAAAGTTTCTCAGCTGTTTTAATTTAGACGACGTATTCAAAGTCGGTAAGTTAAACAACGGCGTGGGTACTAAATCGCAAATGCGGATCATAAAGTATTGGCATGACGACTATAACGTTGAAATATTAAACGAAGCTAGAAATCCACACGAGACTGATAAAAATAATCTTTTTCGTAGGATATCATAGACAAGGGTCGCGTAACCATAGTATCTTCAATGGTACTGGGTACAGATCCATCCTAGTGCATTCCTAGACATTGCTGACACGACAAAACAAATAGCGGGTTGTGCCGTAAGTCTCTGTTTATTGCCCATAAACGGGTAGCATCTTTGGCTCCGCCATATTGGCTCAGCACGCTACGCTAAGATAGCGAATATAGTTACGTAGTGTACGGACGGAGCGAGAGAGATATAGTAAAAACAGAGAAGAAAGATTCAAGTATGACTGGATGCTACGGAAATTCCAGTCTGGAGAACAGCCTCGTTTCGAAAGATAAACTGAGAGCATCCTGGGTTCTGGGTCATCCATGATAGTCTCCTCGGTGAGATTGACCCTTACATCCTGGACGTAGACGATTATGACGTTCAGGATAGGCTGCGGGGTTAAAGTGCTATTCTCGTAGATTCTCCTTTCCTTCTTCATCGTCCGCTTTCACGAAGCAAACTCCTCTGCGAAACACCCACGTCCCTGGAGATGATCGTGTTTGTTGACTCGATTTTTGCATGGTGTGCCAAAAATGTCATGCAGCAGCGCCTATTCAATTTTCTTAGGGACTCTGATGCCGTTGACGGGTGAAAATAAAAAATAAGGAAATGGTTAGTACAAAAATTAGGATTAAATAAAGCACCGAGAACACTTCCTAGAGTGTGTCAATAAATCGTATTTTTTGATTGAGTCTATTTAGAGAAATTTTTGTGGGGGATGTGTTCGCTATGGGGTGACTGAAAAATACAAATAAAGAAAAGAGCGTACCCACTTGCGACGAAAAAAAAATTTAACAAGCTCCAGTCAACGCCGTATGCGGGTGATCTACAGGGGGCGAGGTGAATGATATTAATTTAGTTCCTGCACCAGGAATAAAAAAGGGAATCGTGATTCTTATGCTGCTACGCCCATGTGTAATGTTTTTTAACTCTGATTTGAGTGAAGCGTGCTGTAAAATGACTACTGCAATAAGGGAGAGAGACTGTCAATTTATTTTTAAAAAATGAAGAGACAGTTGTTGAATTTGCTATGGATCTAGAACTAGGAAAATACAAGGCGTCTTTCGACCAGTCAAGACAGTCTTGTTTAATGAGACTTGATACATTAATGACTTATCTTGATAATCAATACAGTGAAAATACAATGACTAATATTAGTAGCTGCTGCTAAAGAAACACTCACTTCGAATAAATTTAGTTTTTCTGAAAGCAAAAAGCTATAGCTTGTTCTTCATTGGTAATTAGATATTGATTATTGAAACTATCGATTGGAAAATCGATTTTCAATCATTCCCAACATTCATGTGGCGCTAGGTAATCGCTCGTGTATCTAATGTAGGCGAGACCACTTGGCATAGCAACATGTTGAACTCCATGTGGAAAAAGTCGTGCTTCCTCTGATTCTGGCACGTTTGGACATACAAGGACTTCATCCCCTGGCTGTAATAAATTGAAAAAATAAGTAATTTTAAAAATAAAATTATATTATCACATTTCATTGTTTTTTTGTCTAATTTTAATCTACGATTGTAAAGATGAACGTATAATAATATTTCGTTCAGATGTATAGTTTAAGAACTTTTCAATAGCTTGATAATATAACGAAAATGATAAGCCGTATTTTTATATAGAATTCCAATAGTTTTTACGTTACTTATATTACTTTCCGAATTTCGGATCAATACGATATTTGAGCCGTTTATTTTTTTTATTCTTTATTGCATAAGATTTTCCTAGTAGTTTCGCAAAAAAAAACTTATTGCGATATACTAACTATTGAGGATACACAGGAGATGCAGAAAAACAAATTTCCGAGATTTCCCCTCTCGAAACCTACCCTAGCATAGGCTGGATCGGTGACAAGTAGGGGTGAAGTTTCCCTGTTAGAGGGTAGTTTTTCTTTGCGCTGACAGCTTGAGAATTGTTTCTGAACGTCTCGTTCACATTTTGGGGTCACAGTGTGCCGAATGAACAGTTCAAACAATGCCCATCGAACGTGAACTATCTCCATAACTGGTAGGGGTAGATTTTGAACTTTGGGGGTGGTTTTCGTATAACCAATTATTTTTACAAATTTTCATTAATAACAAGAGGTGGTGGAAACAAAATTTTCAAAAAATGGAGGTACTAGTTATGATTTTTTGTTTTTACCCTACTGTAGGGTCTTTTGACACATTGTCACGACTTAGGGGTGCGACATCAAATTATGCAGATTTTTTGCAGTTAAAATATGGCTTCATTTTTAACATAAGTTCAAGTCCGCCAGTATTATTGGTTAATTTTTGTAGGAGTTATGAATTTTCAAAATCACTGGTACATATACGTAACATTAGGCACAAAAAAATTAATTATAATAATTAATTGTCAATTCTTATAATGAATACATCAATAAGATCATTACCTGCCAATCAACTGGCGTAGCAACTGGAGCTCTGCTTGACAATTGTAACGCTTGTATCACGCGAAAAATTTCACTAAAATTTAATTTAAAAAAATAATATATTATATTAAATAAAACAAAAAAGGTTTTCCTCTCCAGATTAACTCACTCTATATTTCTTCCTGTGGTGTCTGGATAAAGTAAAAAGAGTCGTAGAATTTTTTGAGGATCAATCACCAAAACTGCTCTCACACCACGGCTTGAAGGTTCTCGCTCGTCTACCATGTCAAGCATTTCCGCAATTTCACGTGTTTCATCTCCAATTATTGGATATGGGAATACCTTTGGAATTCTTCTGTATTTCGCCTGTATATCCTGATAAGAATCGAAAACAATCGGATAAGCATATAAATTCTATGAAATTCAATGAAATATGTCATTTCTATTGGAAGACGCACCTTAATCCAGACCAAATGCGATTCCAAGGAATCGCACGAATGACCAAGTAATTTAACTCCCCTCCTTTTGAATTCCTCAGCCCGTTCCGCAAGTCTGCCCAATTCCGTAGTGCAAACGGGCGTAAAATCTGCCGGATGCGAAAACATCAGTACCCATCTAAAACAGTTTTTACCCATCTAAAACATCTTTTTTAACCTATAACAAAATATACTTTAAATTTTCTATTTGATGTAACTAATATTAGTATGAACAAACCGATCATAATGATAATAAGCATTTTTAAAAACTTACGAATTACCCGACCAATTATGAAAATGAATTTTTCCCTTAGTAGTATAGGCCTCGAAATTTGGTATTTTTGTACCCAGTCTCATTCTGTTGCTTGTTTTATCATAAATGTTATCTTTCTTCGTACACCTTTACGTTTTATCAATATTTAGCCTTGAATCCTCATTGATCAACGTATCGAATCACCCGTACATGGTTTATCAATAATATTTTAATCACCCGTTTTGTACACTCTAAATTTCATATCACAACACACGTGCGATTCACTTCTTAACGTCGTTCTTTGTTTTTTATACCACCAAATTACGCAACCGGATATCATTGGATCCATAGCTTGCATCAACTATGAATGCATTGCATTTTAATCGAAGAGGTCAAAAGTTCACAAATACCACAAATGTTTACGAATCCAACCAGCACTACGAAACCATGTGACAAACTTCCATTGACAATTCCGATAGGATCCAACTCTATGCCCATAGCCTCTATTGCCACGTCACAAACCAATCCCAACTTGCTACGTCGTAGCTAAGGGAAAATCTGCAATACCAACTGTCGGTAAACACATCGACTAAAGTGTACAATTCGTAACACGGTCGGTAAAGTTGTTTTTTCAGTAGTAAAAAGAAGAATTCTATGGATAATCGTTTGACGTGAGCTAAAGAATTTTATAACTATAAAAAAAAAATAAATGAAGATTAAAAATAACAATAAATTTTCCGAATATTTACAATGAAAAATGTATTTATTATCGTTTACTTTGTTCATCGACTTGCAAATTCGCAAGGCCAAAACAAAACTACGAACCCGACGCCAGTTAAACGTAAAATTTTAATTCCAAAAACTTGACCTTATTTCCTCTAGGGAGCAGTTATCAGTAACAAGAAATAACAAAATTCCCGCACTATCGCAATGCTGCATCCTCACGTCCACAGAACACCGAAGCGCCTTGTGTCACAAACATCCCCACTCCCACTGAGCTCCTTTTCACCCCATGCTCACCAACTTCGAGTCTCCCTCTCCCTCGTCCGATTGAGACATACTTAAATATTTTTGAAAAAAATAAAAAACAAAACATAAGACTTCTGACGAAATGAATGTGTCGTACGCACGTACGTATTTTTTTCTTTTACAAATTATTTATTTTCCCGGGACGCCCGTTCTTTGTTCAAGTGGTCGCTCAATGCGTGAAACAAATATTTTGGCTACTTAGAAACGGTATAAAACGTTTCCACCCAACATCCTGAATTCAATTGAAAACTCAACAGCATCAAAATGATCAAGTACATCGTCTTCTTCCTCATCATTGCCATCATCTGCCAATTCTCTATGGCCGGTTTAGTTCCCGACATAAGTGCCTCAAGTTCCAAGGCCGTAGCAGCAGTAAGTATTGATTAATAATAATAATAATTAATTTCAATAATTAATATCGATTATCAAGTTTCATAGTGTACTATAAATTGAAATATAAAAAGTAATTAAGACTATCACGTGACTTTTTCTTTCAGGCTGCAGCCGCCAGTAAGTCCGTCTCTTCTAGCCTCTTGCCTTGCTGAAGTTCTCTTGGAAAAATGATACCAACATGGCCGGCCAGGAAAGACCGTCAATTTATGAACGCTGTTGAGATATTATTTCTATTATTTTTCTACATATATTAGTACCCAATCACAAGTAATTTTTCATGAAAAATACCATGAAGTTATCCAATAAAAAGCAGTGAAAGCAATTTTTTTAAATTTTATTTATCATATGTACCAAAATCATTGTCCTAAAGATTAACACTAAGTGCAGTGTCGTATTGCAGCATAGATCAGCATGACCTAGGAAGATGGAATTAGCACAGGAGTGGCGAGGGTGGCACTTTTATACCTGAGGGTGTTAAATTAATTAATCGTGTTTCATTGATCAGCTAATTAACCGATAACTAAAAAATTATCTGTAATTTCCTTGTTTTTAAAACATTACATCAGCTTGGTACAGATCTAAAGCGAACCACGTGCGATATGTAATTTAAGTAGCTGCTATCTGTGTCCAGGGTTTAAGAGGCCGAACGAGGATAGGACAGGTAGAAAAATAAATTTCCGAATTTTCCGAAAACAAAACCGCGTAGCCGACGCCAATTGAACACCAAATTTTAACCCTTTCGTTAAAACGTTCTGTTCCGCTAGAGTGACGTCACTCAACAGGCACCGCGCCGCAAAGTGCGTACATTGCACGCCGGTAGTTTTCGGTGTTCGCACTCACGTCTTTCAACGCCACTTTCGGATTCTCTTGTTTATACACTTTTTAAGAGCATATATGTCAAATTATAATTCCTAGTGACAAGAGTCGTCACAGGTCGACGCATGGCTGCCTACTGTAGTCGGCACCCGTAACGAAAGGGTTAATTCCAAAAGCTTACCCTTATTTCCTCTAGGGAGCAATTGTCAGTAACAAGAAATACCAAAAGTCACGCACTATAGTGCGATATATTGCGATATATCGCAATGCTGCATCCTTACGTCCACCGAACATCGAAGCACCCTGTGTCAAAAACATCCAGACTCCCACCGAGGTCCTTTTCATCTCACGCTCTCAAACTTTGAGTCTCCCTCTCCCTCGTTCGATTGAGACATACTTGAATATTTTTGAAAAAAAATAAAAATAAAACGTTATTCTTCTGGTGCAATAAATGTACCGTGTGCACTTATATTTTTTTCTTTTTTCTTTTTCTTTACAAATTATTTGTGTTTCCGGTACACGCGTTCTTTGTTCAAGTGGTCGCTCAATGTACGAAACAAATATTTTGGCTGTCTTAAACGTTTCCATGCAATATCCGTGAACTCAGTTGAAAACTCAATAGCATCGAAATGATCGAATACGTCGTCTTCTTCCTCATCATTTCCATCATCTGCCAATTGAGCGGCCGGATTCCATACAGGCTCAACGCTTGGACTCGGTCCCCTCCATAGCGCCTTACGTTCCGAACGCGGAAATTTTACCGTAAATTTCCAAAGTTCAAATTTCCTTCTACAAAAAATACCAGCGTGTCCAACTCGATTGGGTGCACACTTTTTACATTGGAATATATATATAGCTAGGACTGTTAGTTTTCTTAAAAAAAAATAAAAAACTTGTTTTTTCGACGATTATGAAAATCAATCTTTTTTTATATTCAACTCGCGACCATTTCGTTAATAATTGATCGATCGCTGTGATTCCTTTTTTTTAAACAGAAGATACTCTAGCGATGACGACAGTATCGTTACATGATCGGAAAAGCTTTTTTTTATTGCCAATTATTTACTTCTCATCTCGCTTCGCTGACAATTCAATCTCAAAACTTCGATCGAAAAATCGTAGCGACGAAGTTTTTCGAAAAATAAAATTGCACATATATTCATGTGCGTCAAGACCTCAGGAAGATTTTTGGAAAGTTTCAGCTGAGAAAATTAAAAATTGAAGCTTCTACGATTAATTGTTAACAATCGCGCTCGAGCGCGAGAGCGACACGCGATGTGCGCGCCGTGTAGTTGGCGTCTGGTGAAGGTGCGAAAGAGATGGACGCTCACCGACTTTGTAGCAGAGTGACAAAGACGAAGGATGCGTAACTTGTTTTCTTCAACAAATGTAAAAATTGATCAATTTTTAATAAATTTTCTTACATTTTTCTTTCCTGTAGTAAAGGATTATTGGCAAAACAGTGCATTAGAGCCATGGTTAATAAAAAAACGTTAGAATATTACAGTTTCTTCATTGCACTGAAGAATGAGTTTGTAAAATATGGTTCATCAAAGGCATTCTTGAAAAGAAATTAATTTTTGTATTCGCCGAAAAAAAAAGTTAAATTTTTTTTCAACAATTTCTTTGATCAACTATTTTTTAGAAACTCGTTCTTCTGTGCAATGAAGAAACTCTAATATTCCAACGTCGTGACGATGCATCGTCACGATGCAACATCGTGAACTCAGTTGAAAACTCAATAGCATCGAAATGATCAAATGCGTCGTCTTCTTCCTCACCATTGCCATCATCTGCCAATTCTCTATGGCTGGTCTGGTTCAGCAGATAGTTACTTCAGGTTCCGAGATCATAAATGAGTAAGTAATTAATATCGATTATCAAGTTTTATAATACACCATAAATGGAAAGATAAAAATTAATTAAAAATAATACATGACTTTTTCTTTTAGTCTTCCAGCAATATCAGATCCATCGCTAACATCGGATGTTTTAGGTATCCTTGCAAAATGATACCAACATGGCCTCCCAGTAAATACCGTCAATTTAGGAATGCAGTTGAGAAAATTGTTTGTTTATATTATTTCTTGTATTTTTTCACATATATTAGTATGCAATGACAAATAATTTTTCATGAAAAATACTATGACGTTATTGAATAAAAGGTAACGAAAGCAATTTTTAACAAAATTTTATTTATTCTTTATACCAGAATTATTGTCCTATATAGCACTGGATCCAGTGTCGTATTGCAGCATAGGTCAACATGGCCTAGGAGGACGGAATTAGCACATGAGTGGCGAGGGTAGTACTTTTGTACCTGAAGGTGTTAAATTAATTAATCGTAGTTTATTGATCAGCTGTTTAACCGATAAAATAAAAATTATCTGTAATTTCCTTTTTTTTAAACATCATATCTGTTCGGTATACATCTACAGGAATCCATCTACAGCGGACCACGTGCGATATGTAATCTGAGTAGCTGCTATCTGTGTCCAGGGTTTAAAAGGTCAACTGAAAGAGAGGGGGATGCTGTGTGTAACTTTGGTATTGATAGTAAGTTTCTTGAATGGGTTATCGAGTATCATCTACTTCTCTTTAGATGAACCTGATGATGAATTTAAGAATAGCCCGTGGGCCCCAACGACCATGTCGGCCCTGACTGAGTGTGGATATAAATTTTGGTAATTGATACGAAAAAATGTTTATCAGTGTTTTATGGGACTTTGATTTTTTTTTCCAGCATCTGTTTTTGTAAATTCTGTAGCAATACAAAATATTTTATTGACAAATTCGTTTAGATAGCAATAACGAGACATTTATAATACAAAACTATATTTTATTAAAAATAAAAAATATATATGTATCAACAATGTATACAAATTAGTTCAGCAATGCATATGCATATACACTAATAGGTACACGTGGTTTTCCAAAAGGAATATATAGATTTCGACTAGGTAATAGCAAATCATATTATTTTCAAGTATGCTTCTTTCTAATCTGTCGATTAAACAAACATTACTGTATAGTATCGTTCTTATCTGACTAAAAGTTGTTTCAATTTTTTTATCTCTTGACGGTTCGTTGATCTCGAATTATTCACAAGGAGTATAAAGATCTAACGAATACGTACAATTTTAGAATCAAAGTTCCGTAGCAAAGGCCACAGTGATACGAGATATATTTTTAAGAATATTGTTTGTATATCTTATTTTAAAAAATTTAATATATTGAAAATAGTTGTACTATTATTTTTTTAAATGCGATGAAATAAAATAAATAACAATGACACAAGTCTGTATAAAATTTCTTAGTCACCGTCAAACACTGCGCGTGAAACAATAATAACAAGAACCACCCTAAGATACTATTTATAAATTAAAAATTAAATAACACCCAATATAGTCTCAGTTAATAAGAACCAATTCCATTCTAATTCCCGATAAAGTTAATTAATTCGGAATGTGATCGGGTCATTAAACAGCGTAAAATAACGGTAAACAATAATAATCTAATTGACGTATTTGTCTCGCAACTTTATGCGTAAAATTTTTCCAGATGGATTCTTCGGTATACTGTCCACCAGCGTCACGCCACCTGCAAATGAAAATAAACGATAAAATAATAATATAAATAGTACAATTATTTTTTCACCTCGTGATACATTTACGCTAATAAGTCATCAAACAACAAACCCCGTAAATGCTTGTACTCGGCGACTCTCGTATTTACAAAATTTTTTATATCCTCCTCGGAAGGTTTTCGGCCCGATTTTGGAAGTACGAAGGCCTTAGGAACTTCACCGTATCTTGAGTCGGGAATCCCGATGACAGCAGCTTCCTCGATGTCTTTATGCGTCCTAAGTAATTCTTCAATTTCGGCCGGAGGTACCTAAAAAAAAAACGATTAAATTTAATTTCCAAAAAAAAAAGATATACGTTTTTTCGGAAAAAAAATAACGTTGCACAATGTGAAAATCTAACCTGGAAACCTTTGACCTTGATAAGCTCCTTCAATCTGTCGCTGATATAGAAATCAAAATCTTCATCGAAATACGCAATATCGCCAGTCTTAAGCCAACCCCCCTCTATAATAGTTTCCTTGGTCGCTGCTTCATTTTTATAATAACCCTTCATAACGTGCGGTCCTTTTATCAGTAATTCGCCCGATTTTCCTGGTTCTGATATATCAACATTGGTAATTGGATCGACAAGACGAATAGAGCTGCCACACAATACTTCGCCTATACTGCCGTATTTGTCTTCTCTCCAATTAAATAAAGCGACTGGTGAAGTTTCCGTTAGTCCATAACCTAAAAATACAAAAATATGGATCACACCCATCGAACGTTTTGAAAATAAAAAAAATATTTTTCCTTTTCTTCTTTTTACGTACCATTACCAAAATGCAATGTTGACCGAAGGGATTGAAATTTTTCGTAAAATCTATCAACATCCGATTTGCCCAATGGCGCAGCGCCGGATATCACGCATTGTACATGGTCCAGGTAATTTGGTTTTATCAGAGGTGACGCGGTAAGAAACAAAATAATAGGAGGTGCGCATAACAATGTGGTAGTCTATAAAACAATAATCATAATTTCATATAATTTTTTCATTCCACACAATACAATGACCTTCTATTGGAATCTGACATATGACGCTATGACATCTGGTGGCAAAAAATGGAACTTGTCTAAAGGTACATGTTGGCAGATGCTGTTCATTGTGTACACTCAACGTCAATAATTTTTTGGTCCCGAAACCTATTTTTATGTAATTTAAATGGACAAATTAAATCGGTAAGTCCCGGTATCAATGACGTTTGTGTATTTATATTCGTCGAACGAAAATCTCGTATTTGCATAAAAATATTTTCAAATTTTACAAGAATTTTAATCTAAAAATTTAATCCGATCTATTGCACTAATTTTAAAAGAGCATACACTCCGATCTCATATTGACTAACTCACACGTAAATTCCTCCCACATGTCAGATTCCAATATCTTGAAAATATTATTTTCACCTACTTTATATTTAGCTAATACAGATGCAAATAATTCTGGTGTAAACTTCGGTAAGGTGACTAATCTCGAGCCTATTGATAACCTCGTGCACATAATTGCATTCATACCATATATATGAAATAAAGGTAGTACGCTTGGTATGACTTCTTGAAAAGAATCTAAAAACAAAAAAAAATATGACAAACAACGAATTTTCACGGAAAAATAATAGCTCAACAGAAGCCGATGCATTGACTTCTTATACCCGGTCGTTCAAATCAAACGTATCACCTGCACTGAAAATGGAAGTGCATAATGAAGCGTGTTTTCCCTATCCTAAGGATCGAAATAAAAATACTACCATATAAACTTTCACAGTAGTCACTTTTTACAGATTTACAAATGTCTTACTTTTACATTGGATTACGTTAAAATAACAGTACACTTCCAAGTGTGTTAAAAGTGACTACCATATATAGAATAGGAAATAACACAGTTCGTTACGTACTTGAATTTTCGGTATAACATGGTTTTACCATAAGAATCGAATGGGCGCTCCAATTTAACTTGGAGTACGTTTATGCTGAATCACCCAGTATATATTATTCTAATAAAGCGTACAAATAAATCAAAAAATTTTATCTAATATTACCATACCTGTCGCTTTATTCCAAAAAATTCCCTCTGGTACTGTATTACGAACCATCATTATGTTTCTAACAAGATTTCGATGGGTGAGCATTACCCCTTTTGGCAAACCAGTGGTACCACTAGAATAAGGTAAAGCTGCCACATCTTCGTCAGACCAAGTTCTCTCAGGTAACGACGGTAAGGATTTGCCCTTGGTTATAAGATCCTTAAAAAAAAACAGGTCAGGTTATGCAATTTAATATTTAATTTTTTTTCAAATTTAATTCAATTAATTTTACCTGAAACGGTATGGTACCTGTTGGTATAGGCTGGACACCATCGTCCACTACTACCACCGGGATTTTTCCAAGATTACTATTACCTATAGCTGCAAGAACCGTTGGCGCTATCTCGGCAGCTGTTATCACAGCTCTGGCATTACAATCTATCAGCTGCTTCGATATCTCGTCTGTACAATTAAAAAAAATTTGTTAATCAAGATCACGTAATCCGCAATTAAACATTGTAGCACATGGTTACGTATATCAGGGATCACGTGGGTAAGCATTATCAAGCAAGACAATATACTTTATACCATGGTACCTTTGTATCTTGCATGCATACATACTATATATAGTTGACTATTCAAAGATAAGGTTAGTGCAAAAAATTGTTTTTATAAGTTTAACGTTTTTCAAACTAATGAAATATAACTTTTCAAAAGACGTATATTGCACGTTTATTTCATTCAGTTTAGCCAATCAGTGTGTATCGTGCTTTAAATTGATAATGTTATTATTATGTTCGCATGCAGCAAATTATAATGGAAAAGCTTAATATAATTATTTATTGTTATAGTATTTCAATGGAATCGTCAAACGCAACTGCACTCACATACTGTATATTGAAAATTTACTGTCGTCACGATAAGACCAGCTTCGGACGCTCCAAGAAAGGCAACTGCAGTTTCCGGTAGATTTGGCAGTATCACTGCCACTACGTCTCCAACTTTCAGGCCGATGTTTCGCAAACTTCTTGCTACGTAATTCGAAGAGTCCCTTGCTTGGGCGTACGTGTACTTTCTGCCCGTCTCTCCACATTCCTGCAATGCATACGTAAATGTCAAAATTATAATAAATCAAAATTAAATTTAAAAAATTACAGCTGACAGTGACGTATTTCATGAAGAAAAATATAAATGTTCAAATGTGAACTATGACCTGGTGATTCGAAAATGAACTTTTAATAAAAATTTTTATATTTTTTTTCAAAATTTCGTCAAGTTCAAATGGATGATTTGGATTTACAAAAAATGTTTGTGTCATCAACAACGATTTGCTATTTTATTATTAACGGTCTGGTTGACTGTGATCAACAATTTAATCGAGTTGATTCATACCCGGTCCAAAGGTCACTGAAAATTGTATTGTACGCACTCGAACTTATGATCTTGATTCATCAATCAAATTAATTTGGTCTCGCCGATTGAGCTTACTCACCAGTGCTATCTTATTGGCGAATTTTTCGACATCCTTCCACACGTATTCCGATAAAGTTGAAGTCGATAACGGCAAATTGCCAGGGGAACCTGGTATAATTTTTTCACCATTGGGTCCATCCACAATTTTGATCTTACGTTCAACTGCAGTCGACGCGCATCTAAGCGACGACCTTAACAACTCGATGCCAGTTTTCAGTGTGTTATTCAGTCGCTGGCTCCTTCGTATAAAGATAGCCATTGTTAATTAGATGATATCGGATAACGTTAATTAATAAATAAAAAAATTGCCGATATCAATTAACAAAAATTTTTCCCCCGGCACTCAGTGTCAATTGTCATCCGTATTCGTAATCTGAAAAAAACATATGAAAAAAATTTTCAATTAAAAATACATACACTAATCAGCAATTAATACGATTATGAGGTAATCGATAATTAACGATAGTTCATTATTCCGAAGAAAGCATCAATGTCATATAAACTTCACACTGCCGTCGAAAAGCTTCCAGCAATTCCTAAAACTGAACTCAAATCCGTTTTTCCTCAGTTTTATTCGGGCAGCATTCGATTAAATGATATTCACGATTTTTTTTATAGAAAAAACTGTATTCCCCCTTCGCTTTTATGTTTTCAAAAAAAATTAAAAATCTCACTGTCAGTTTTTTTCGGGCAGCATTCGATTAAATGATATTCACGATTTTTTTTTTAGAAAAAAGTGTATTCCCCCTTCCCTTATATGTTTTCAAAAAAAGAAATTAAAAATCTCACTGTCGGACGTCATATCACTCCCTTCTGAAGACCAGGCTCTAATAATGCCAAAGCACGCAGTGGAATTTTTCAAGTCATTTCCAAAACAGACGACCAGTCATTAGTAGGTATTAATATCAAAAATTAATAAAACATTTACTGCATCGGAAATCCAAACGCGATTTAATGAAATTCATGAGAAACAGATATTACCAAGTACTGTCAAGGATCGCTTGCACAGAACCTGCCTTTGGGACAGAGTTTCTACTGAAAAATCAATTTTACAGCGCGGAAATAGGAACAGGAGGTTTCGATGGGTTGAAATGCTGGGTCACTCAAGATTAAAAACACGATTTTACGAACCGACGTTTAACTTTAATTTTTCTCAGTTTAAACACTTGTCCGAAAACTTTTCGACGTCAGTGTACATAGATAAATGATTTATCGATGACGTTTGTCCTTCTTCTTTAAATTTATTTTCTTATCGGTCAATAATTCGTCATACTTAAGAATTTTTTAGTGTCGCGGTTGTTACGGTTAAAAAATACAACGACGATTTTTTCAAATAATCCATATACATATTGTTGTTTAGTTAAGATTACTCGTGTCTGGAGATTAGGCATATTTTTCTTTACAAAAATCTTCAAAGATATCTTCCTCGCAGTATGTACAATCTCAAACGCGATAGCACATTACGCGAACAACTTGTTTGTCGTTAAGGCAATAATCACGAAGATATAAAATAATGATAATGAAATGTATAATTATATGGACCAATTAGCACTCACTATATTCACGTAATATATCGATAGCTTTTTCAAAATCTAATTATACGATTTGCCCTGTTAAGTTCAGGGATAAGTCAACACGTCGATATGGTTCTAATGACGTATTAATAAAAAATTTTATAAAAATCTTTTTATCAATGTTCACTTATGTTTTTATTCATACAAAATTTTTTACCCGTGAGTTTATCGATGAAAACCTGTTTGCTGATAATACCATTTATAAAACAGTTTTTACTGACGATGCATTTGCATTCCAATGCGATACGATTATATGCGTGATCCTTAACCCTTAAACGCTAACGTGACCCGAGCTAATGACATTTTCTCAATACCGTTAATCCATTCCGACCTCGAAAGTGAGACTACTTATTTTAAGATCGAATATCAAAGTTTCCTAATTAGCAATCACGTATCTTGATTTCATAATTACATTTAACTGTACTCGAAATACTAATTGTTATCGTCGTACCCATATCAGTCGAATCTCGATCATTTTGATTTTGATGAATTAATATTTTACTTCATCTGTAGAATGAATTTATAGTATAAATACACTACGTTTTTTGTACGTATGTTTATAGTATATCATATAGGCCTTATCTACGTACATGCATATTATCAATCTATGCAAAATAAATTCAAGATTCGTAACAAAGCAAAAGATTTGGTCAATCAAGTTAACACTAAATCTTCCAACGACGGGTCATTTGACTCTTTTAAAGCCAAAAATACATTTATACAAAAATATTGTTGTGTTTAGTATTAAAACTCTATTAATTAAGTGGCACGATGATCAATAAACAATTATATATGTATATGTATATAATTATATGTGTATACTGCCAGTAGAAATTGATTTATTTTTTTTGTATTATCGTATAATTTAAAAATAGAGATTATAATAACGGATTTTTCGTTGATAAAAAAATAAATTTCAATCATCATAGCAAAGATCAATTATTTTAAATAGAATATTATTTGGAAATATTAATAAAGCTAATAATAAATACAGTCACTAAATCGCCAAATTTTATCAAAAATTATCCACACGTAATTTTCACATACGTATAAATGCAGTAACGCCCGTAAGCTCAAATTCAAACTGTATTACTCTCAAAAATACCCGTAATTCTTTAATAAGGTCTTAAAAGAAAAATATACCAAATACACTAAAACGAAATGAAGTAAAAAAATAAACGGTCGATTTATAAAAAAATTCTCAAACGTCATCTAAACGTCTGTATGTATGACGTAAGCGTAATTGACTTAGATACAAAAATACGATAAGATGTAATTATGACATTTCGAATGTACTTCGATCTTGGCGGGAGACTCTAACAAACAATCCCGAGGACTTCGTACCGTAAAACCGCATTGACGTCATCCCAAGATATCTCAAATGGCTTCTACGTTAAGAGAAGTAGTGCCACTTAATGAACGTAACTTAATTCGCGTACAACGTTGTGAATGCAGTTTTATATTTCAAAGAAACTATCAAGACAAAAGAAGAGTGAAGGAGAAAGAGAATGAAAAATTTGATAATAAAACAAAAAAATATACATATATACATACATTTCTGGTTAAACGTATTGTATCCAATTGAATACACTTATATTTCTTTACTAATGCGTATTTTCATACACCAGGTATATCCACGGCCTACATGTGGCCTTGCCTTTAGCTAAATGCCACAAATAAATACCATAGTCAGTAACTCACTGTTACATTGACAATTTCCTTTCAGATGAATACACGTAATATTCCTGTCACGTAACATTTTCAAGTGTATGTTTAAAGAACACTTTGCGCCTCCCCCTCCTCACCAATCATATTCGTGAATGAACAGAAAACACCAATCCGAGGCTGCACTTTCTAGTATGTATTTACTATTAAAAATATATATATATATAGCAAACCTGTGTAATATCGAATGGCTGTCTTCGCTTTTGATCCTGTTGTTCTTTACCCGGCTTTATCCTCTTTCTTTAATCCATTGGCACTGAGAGAACACGAAAAATATTCTTGCACTGTCTTATTGTATATTTTTGTAAAAATTTCAAAAAACCTACTGCACTCGTGAAACCGGTTCCGCTCGACACTGACAGAATCACGAACAAACTATTTAACTTCTGGTCGGTACATTTCACTATAGTCCCCACTACCTTGGTCTCCCTCATACACACCTATAGGGTGACTTGCAAATAGGTAATCTTTGATCCTCGATTCGAACTGATAGCGGAACGTCGTGTTTTGTACATATGAGCATTTCTTCATAATTTATCGTATGCATTGAAATTGAAAAATATATCGATAAGAAATAATTACTTTTTTATGTTTTGATAACAATTTTTTATATTAATTAGTAAACTGTAAAGAATTACCTTTGAAGCGTAGAATGACGTAAGTATTAGAATACGCAGACGTTGAACAATAATTAATGGAATGATGGTAATGTCACAAGTTTTAATCGTTGTTATGTATACTATATACAGTCGTTGATTGTAAATTTGTCAATTAATTATCTAAGAATTTTTGTTATTCTCAAGTCCTCGCTTAACATTACAATTTTGTCACCTTCGCCTCTGTCGATATACCACAAACCGTTAAAAGTTTCATGACTTATTCGCCGAAGCTATAAAACTTGTAAAACCGTAAGAACGAACCATTTTGTTTCTATGGCTCCAGCCGCTTTACGATGAACCGAGATGGTCCAGTCCGACTACGTGCAACTTCACAGCCGAATGAGATAAATCGGTCACAGATCGTTTTACTTGGACTATGTAGTACATGGCCTAGGAATAAAAGTTACAACGGTTAGGAACACTGTTTTGATCGATTTAAGGGCCGCTCCTGACATCTGGTGGAGTTTTTGTAACTAAGTACTGACTTGGCCTACTTTGCTGTACGAGCAATTCTAGTTTACTACTTTACTACGGTTGCTACTGCAATCCCAACATACAGTATTAGCTGGGAAATATACGGTACGAGTTACCTGCTAAGTGAGGAGAAAATTTTGAATACATTTTTCGTGAATTTATTGTGGGCGACTTTTTATAAATATTGAATACCAAGTCGACTTAATTATGACTCGTGAAAATTCTGTTTTGCCAACGGAACAATGATGTTAATGCTTGCGCTGGTAATTAACAGGAATAATGAGAATTTAATCGGTACTTTGGAAAGTGTTACGAAATTGCTTGATTGGCTTTGTCGATAATTTCGAATGAAAGTGAAAAAAAATTTTATTGAACCTCCGGCAGTGTTAAGATTGACGGTTGAAGGTGCCGCGACGGTTCTCAAAAATTCGTTTCTTTTACGTCGTTGCTGACATATAATTTTTCAAAAGAATTGTAATCCGTGACAATGCTTTTTCAAAATTCACAGTTAATCGTGATGCTCGTACTCATTTTGACTGTTTACCAAATCCATTCGACACGTCGTAAGTGAATTTCTGTTAAAAAAAAAAAAGCAATATTTACAAAATGGTATAAAAATCAACACTTTTCTTGGGGGGGATTTTCAGAACATCGCAGTTCGACGAAACCAAATTTTAGTAAGTACATTTTGAAATTTTTTTTTTCCAAAATTAATTCTCGTCTCTTCAACAGAATTTGCCCCAGCATCAAATCGTCGTTATAGTAAGTCAAATTTTCGCGCCTCAAAATACCCCTAGATGTGCGTTATCGTTATCAGCTGTGAAAAACTTAAAAATGTTCTATTCCCAGGAAAGCTGGAAAACCAGGAAGCCTCGATCGACGTCGGCAATGTAATTTCCATCGTGATACCAAACAACCCTCACGAGATGTTAAACGTGGAGCAACTCACGGAAGACTTCAGGAATGAATTGGAGCGCATAAAGAAACAAAGTAGCGTAAAAAAATTTCAGCACGGATTGATAACACTAAGAAAAGTCCTACCGGAGTTATCGCCGGAAGAGAAGCGCAAAGCATTGCCATGGTTGCGTAAAATATTAAAGATGAAACAATTAGAGGGAAAAAATCCAACGAATAAAAATCGTCGCGATCAAGATTCCAACAATGATAACATTGATAACAAAGATAACGAAGATTTCGAAAATAAACAGCAAATCAATAGAGGAAAGCACAAGTCTATACGTTCGGGCAATACCGAGAGGAAAGACGAGAGCGACGACTTAGATTCCGAGGAACCGGAAGTGGCCGTTACGGAATCGCCACGTCAAGTAGTTGAGAATTATTCGATAAGCCCAATAATAACGCAACCCCCCACCCCTCAAACTTATATTCCGCAAGATTATAATTCACCCCCGATGTCAGAATTTGTCACGCCAGCCGACTACATAGTCAATCATAATTTTCCAGCGGTTTCCAGTTTCAAAAATGGTGGGCCCGTGGGACTCTTTAAGGTCCTAAATCAACCGCTGTACGACGAAACAGATAAGAGACAGAAAAATATACCCAAGGAAGTTCGCATACCTAAGAGCACTTCGTCCAATGAGAATCTTGAGGTTGTTGCCGAAAGGGATGCTTTCAAGGACGCCGATTTCGATCGCAATGCGCGGCTGGTTAACGATTTGGCCAGAATTGCGGAACAATTGGCGAATTTTCGAGCCAATGAGAATCCGCCCGCAGGCTATCTCGATCAGCTGACGCCTTCTGCTAGGAACGACTTGGCCGCTGCTGCTGCGCAGCCATTGAATATAAACTCGTCCGAAGACTTGCGATCAAATGCGTCCGTGGTTGTTAACGAGCCTAAGAGACTTCCGGAAATATCCGCAGATTTGATCGTGTACGATTATGTTCCAAACAAGGATACGAATGACAAGCGCAATGGTTTTTATCTGCCCTCGTGAAGATTTATGCTTTGAAAATTTGTATTTACCGTTTTGAACGTTACTCTAAGTATAATTCGTTGGAATGTTTATTATATCTTCGCTGTCTCTATAATTCAGATACGAGTTACAATTAATTGATCTGTGTATTGATTGGTATTAATCGATAGACTGTTTCTTTATATTTGACTATGTATTATTACTCGACTATTTTATAAAGTTAATCAATCGAATAAACGAAACAGGGAAATTATATTTGTCGATTTATCGATCGCTATTCAATGCGATTACAAATTACCGGATCTTTCAATTATTTTATATTTAAAAATTATCTTCGATTCTAATTTTAAGTCTTGCCGAATTACGCGTCAGCCGAACAAATTATTTATCTATCTCAAAAGAAAAATATAATTTTAGACATCTGGCCTCTTACGAAATTCTAACTCGTTAGATCACACGAACACATTTTTTTTCGTGCCAAAAAATAATTCGAAAGTGTAATTTCATTATTTTACGTAAAAAACAAGGTCAAAGACAACATATAAAAATAATTATAGACAAATTTTAATAATTCCTTATAAATATTACAAATTTACATTAATTCCATTTCTGATACAAAATTCCTTATTAATTATTTCTAAATGACTATCCTAATCATCCGAAGCAACACGTGCACGATAATCGATCTTTTGACGATTCAATGACTTTTCAATATAATCGTTAATGGTATTTACAAATAATCGTCCATTGAATTTTCCACAGATTTTTTAATAATTTTTTTCGTCAATCTTCGTCAACGTCATCTAACGCATATTAGAATGTCGCATCGCTGCAATGCAAACCACATGCATCTATACCATAAGAGCGGCGCTTGCGCGGCGACCCGCTGCCGAAGGAGCGTCGAAAGCGAACCCGGCGCCGCTGCAGTAGACCTTATTGATCTGTCAACACAGTTTGGCCGTTTTAACGAAAAACCTTCAGTATCCAAGAGTTCCTTCTTTTCGAAATATACACGAGGATATCCAAAAAGTGCTTCTAGAGTGCAGTGAGTGGACACGAGTCAAAAATATTGTGGGTGTCAAAATTATCGGGCTTATTCCCATAATCCATCCCGATCGTCAATATCCTGTGTCTTATCAATTATCAACCACAGTACCAACCCCCCAATCCGACATAAAAAAAAATAAATCCGGAATAAAAAAATATTTCCTGACAAATTTAACCAACCGGAAATCAACGTTTTGTGTAAAATTGTTGCGTACTATATACAATATTTTATTTATATATTTTATCAACGGCATGTCAGCTGCTTTAATATCTACGTCAATGTGTTCCCGCTTATCAATGTGGCTTTTATTAATAATTTATAAAGTTGTTCCACTATATAAGTAACATCTAATTTTAGATGAATCAAAGATATACTATTTTATTCACTCAGTAATACGAAGTGTCAAGAATATTGCTAATCACTGTTTTCACGTAATTGTCAAAATTGATAAGAAGAATTTTTATTCAATTTCGCATATGTTTATATTATATATATATTGTTGATTAAACATATACAGAATATTATTATGCACGTTTACACACACGCGATCCTCAGCTGGTATTACAGTTTATTCAATTATTGAATATCGTGCCAGTTACGCATACGCTGTTATGCCAATATATATATACACATATATATATATATATATATATATATATATATATATATATGAATAACAAAATTGAAAATTCTTGACTAATAGGCAATTTCGCGATAGCGCAGGAAGTTTCTATAATTTATGTTACGTTTCGTGTAATTTCTCGCGTTATGGCAATCCTCATAGGGCCATTCTACATCAAGTCTTTTAGTGCTACTCGAAGCAAGCTAAGCGGCTAACTGTCTAAATATACCGAAGCCACAGGAGTCCGTGAACGTTAGGTCGAGCTCACACGCAGCGACACATAAAGTGTTATGTAAATTAAAATAAAATTTATTGATGCAATTAAAAATTAAAAGTTAAACAAATTTGATCCAGTTGAAATACTTTTCACAGCTAATGCTTATTGACGTTGTGTGTATTTTGAAAATATTTTAGTCCTCTCATTAGTAATATAAAAATATACAAATACGCTCAAATGCCAGGATCTCAAAACACTTTTATTCGCGTTCAATTGTTTTATTCAAAGATACAAACGTTTTTTTTTTTTTGAAATTTTAAAACGATTGACACCGATGTGATTTTGGTGTGAATACCGCATAATCTTGATATACTAGTAAACCTTATTTTTTCAGTCTTCACGAAGAATAACGATGAATGAGGAAAAATAAACGAAAATAATTATTTGTCTTGTCTTTGCGTAAGAGACACAATGAAAATTTGAAAAAAGGGCACTATAGACGAATCAGTTAAATTTTCGAAAATAATTTTTTAATTAGTATCTACTTGAAAAATTGATATTTTTTTCTAGTCTAAGAAAAAAAAATTCAAAACGAAATTCTTTGCTTCATATCAAAATTTATCGGCTACTCAAAAATCTACGATGCTAACCTAATTTTCTCTTTTTCTTCCTATTTTCAGACCAAATTAAGCATTACGATATCGAACATTATTGCTTAAAAATGTTTGAATCGTGATCCGACGTTTTGTAAAATGAAGCTAAAGTGGGAATCTTAGCGCAGCCAAAAATACAAGAAGGACTTTTGCAAAGAGTACTTCGTCATCGGTATACAAAGGAAACTGTTAAAGGTAACTAATCGTGGCGATTGCATAACCGAAGAAACCCTTCTTCGAAATTTCCACGTCATCAGATAATAACTTAATTTATTTAACAATTCGATTTTACGGAGAAAAAAGCCAAAGTATACCCATATCGTAATAAATCGATAAAATTTTCCAAAAAATACATAATTATCCGAAATTTATCCAAATCATTCTCAATCGAAGGCTACTAATCATAATATAAAAAAAAATTAAAATTACCAAATAATCGATTGTCCAATTTTTACTATGCTGAAGCAAAATGATAATAATGCCTTAGAAGTCATAATATTCAGAACTATCAAAAATTCAAAACCAGAGCTTTACGCAATTGAAGGTATTTACGTTAGGTTAATTTTCGAATCAAATGCATCCCCCTTTTTTTCTAAATTTATTCACCAACCATGAGTCATTTTTCTCAATACACAAAATATTCGTCATTCATCTAATCAGCATACTGATAGGCTTGCACCGATAACCCCAAATTTATCTTATACGCATATATATATCTACTTAGTGAACACGTGTAAAAATGTACCGCCATACTGTTTGCGCCATCTGTATTGAAGATAAGTTCTTGATATATATTTGTACCAAATATATATATATATATATATACATATCTACAAATGCTCACTAACGTTTACCTTTATTATTAAGAATGCCGCAAACACAAATACCAGAATTCACGTGCGAAAAAAAAAGAAACCCAGAAAATACAAAAATAAATATAGATCTTAATAATTGACTGGTTCACAGCGGCCGGAAACACTTGGCAGTCATCGTTAAAGCAACGGCGAGATATTTGAAGAATTAAGTGCAAGAGATATAACGATGCAATAAGAAAATCATAAAAGAAAATTGAAAAGAATTTTGGAGCAACAAAATGGCGCCAGATTACGTGATAGCGGGTGAGTATAATTCTTAATCACCAGTGGCCTTATAAAACAACAATAATAATAATCCCACATTTTTAATCTAATTTATCAAAAAGTTATCGCATTGTATATACATATATATTAATATCATTATAAAATACAATATATCACAATCGACAGAAAAAGCTATTAAAGATAGCAAGAAGAAACTTAATTATAATTAACGCTATATAATTTCTACCTTACAGTATTGGTATCCTCGTGCATTCAGATAGCGAGTCCACGATGCGCAACGCGATACAAAACCGTCGGTAAAAAATAATTTAAAAAAAGAATGAAGAAAAAAAGAGAAAATAATTTTTTGTATATTTTTATTTTAATAAACTACGAGTGCCTAACTAACTAACAATTTGTTAAGCACGTGTCCGTCGTTAATTGGTTATTAGTACTTTCGTACCTGATATTCGTATATTAACAAATCAGAGTAAAAAACATTAACATAGAGTAGTACTTGTTAATCCAATATTGCATAATGGCAATAATCCGTAAAATTTGTAAAACTAGAGTTTCTCAAGCATGCGTACCACATGTATATATATTTTCAATAAAAAAAATATATATACAGTATCACCTAAAATTTGAACTCAAAGTCAAAATTGAAAAAGCAATCAAAGTTATTTGACTGACGCCAGTTGGTTTGATTAACCCAGACACGTCGGTATGCCAGCTGCAATAACTTATAAAATTAACGCTTGTCTAAATCACTAATCAATGTTTTTCAGCGGCAATTATACTCGCGGTAGCCAACGTCTGTCATGCGGAATGTCAGAGTGAGTGATTATCAGCTAATTCAATTAATTAATATCGCATAGCGTGATCAACCGAAAAAAAAAAAAAAAAAATATGATCCCATTGAAGATAAAAAAATTCGCCTTAATTGCACGTATCTCATTAATGACCTAATTATCTCTCTTTTTTATATATATCTAAACAGCACGTTCCATTTATTGCTACGAATGCGATTCCTGGACGGATCTCAGGTGTAAGGATCCGTTTAATTATACGGCACTGCCAAGAGATCAGCCGCCACTGTTAACTTGTAACGGATGCTGCGTGAAGATGGTGCGGAATGAAAAATCTCGTAAGTTTATTTATAAATTTATTATATTTTATTTTTCCATCTTTTTTTTTATCGTCCGCTTACGTCATTATTATAAATATTTATATATTTATTTTTTACTTGTCATGTGTGTTCATATAGGTATATATATATATATATATTTCATATGCGTTTTTATATGATTCCGCAGCGCTCGAGAGCGTACGAAGAATGTGCACCTCCCAGCTTCAGATAAACTTATTCATGGTGGACCACGTGTGCATGATGGAAAGTACCGGCACTGGTCACATGTGCTTCTGTGAGGAAGATATGTGCAATCGTGTCCCTCCGTCCTCGTGCTCGAATCCTTTACTCCTCCTGAGCCTTGCTACAGTCATCGGCGTCCTTAACCTATTCAGAAATCCTGGCTTGCTTGGTAGGTCGCTGTTATGATTACGTTGTTAGTGATTCTTCACCCGTAGAATCTTTTATATTTTCTTTTTTTTTTTTTTTAGTGGCTAGGAAAGCAAGGGACGAGAAGAGTCGTGATGGGACGGAATGGATAAATGAAATAATTTTTGGATTTTTTTTTTAGTGAAAAAAAAATTGGTGCCTCCGCTGTAGCAATTTCGATGGATAATTGTGGATATTGAGTTACTTGAGATTTCTTATTTCTCATTGTGTCCCATCTCGTCTTTCTGCGCTCGGGTTAAATTCAATTAGTCGTTCAGCTAAATTTTCAATATATTTAGAGATTTTAATCCAGTGCGGGGAGTCATTAATTATTTCTATACTCAGCGTAGAAGTTGATAAAGAGATTGTGGTATTGTATGAGCATGATTTCGTGACAGTTAATTATTATTATTTTTATTCATTTTTTTTTATCAATTTTTGAATAATCTGAGACTGTACAGAAGATAGTTTTTTTTTAATACCAAATTTTGTTATTCACAAATTTGGATTTTTACTTGTCACGTTTTTCGTGCTCATTCGAAATATTTCCGTCGTCTGATCGTCTTGATTTGAATTATCCAAAAAAAAACCTCAATTAAGCCACGAGATTAAAACGTCAAAAATCAAGAGATCGGGTGATCAGTGCGGAAACGTTAATATCCACTCGAGTCACAATGTGAGAGAAATAGAAACAAAAAAAGAAGAGAAGACCAAAAAAAATGGAAAAAAAATACCAAAATTAATCGTCATCAAAAGTTCCTTCACGTTTTTCTCAGAATCGAAACAATCTTCAATTACAATCATTCTATATTGTGTCGCCGTGTGAATATGAAGTTTTATTGCCTCCCGGTCATAAACCGATCTGAGTATATTAAATTATTTATCTCTTTCTCTCTCACTCGTACCAATCCAATCGCTCTCTCTCTCTCTCTCTCTCTCTCTCTCTCTCTCTCTCTCTCTCTCTCTCTCTT